ATCCTCGCTCCCATCATTTATGTTATGAGCACTCAGATTAGGGCTTGTCACCTCAGGATGACAACATCATCTGCATTTATGGTAATAACACATCATCAATTCTCTGGGGGAATCCCACTTTCTAGCCTATGTTTAATTTTCCATAAGAGCAACTTGTTAAATGCATAGCTAATATAATGTATTTTTAAATTATATATGATCTTTTCTACATAAGATAAAAAATTAAAGAAGTCCTCAGATAGGTGTGTTATGATGTTTGTTTCTGAACATCAGAGAAAGGGAGAGAAGGACAGGAGGAGAATGTCAATATAAAAGTCATAAAATGATATCCTCAATAGAGATTTACTTTGATCTCCACAGTACTAAGATTTAAAATGTGGGAGACTTCACATAAAAATCCAGATTTCTGACCTCTTTGAAACAATGAAAAATACATAATGAAACCCAAAAATCTAGTACCCATAGACCTTCATTCCTGCATGAAAACAGTTGTCTAGACTACACTTGACTGAATCCTGCATAGTATACACATCCCTGTTCACCACTGTTGTGTTCCAGACACCAAGGTCAATAGCAATTCTATCTATCATTGCACCTACCCTGGCTTTTGCCTACATGTAGTCAGCGTCACGCCTGTATGGTATTTAATTTTACTCACTGGATGTTAGGGTAGTTGAGCTTGGAACCCTTGGCTTTGAATTGACTGAGTCTTTGTACCCCTAAGGCGCTGAGTATCTTTCACCTCCAGACTCTACCCTACACAGTCCCTGAGCCAATGATAGCTAAGACTGAGAACAGGATCAGAAATTTGTTTCCTCCTCTAAACTGGTATCACAGAAAACCTAAAAAAGCCTCATCAAGTAGCACTTTGCTTCCAATGCCCACTCCTGTTCCAGGCCATGAATTCTGGTGTTGCTTGAGCCCTTCTCTTCTAATGGTAGAGTTCTCCTGGAAATGCCACTAGCCAGGGAGCAGCAGTGCCACCCTCTCAGTCCTGGCCACTAGCAGTCTTTCACCTAGGGACCAAAACCCTGCCATGCTGAGCTCCAGAGATCTTTTTCCCGATCTGTACACTAGCAATATGATCGCCACTTAGCAACATGTGGTGAATGAACACTTGAAATGAAGCTAGTTGAAACTGAGATATGCTGTAAGTATAAAATACACAGGGGATTTCCAAGACTCAGTATGCATCAAGTATACCAACTATTGTATTAGTAATTTTATATTACTCTTATTTTGAAATGATAGTATCACTTGATACATTGGGTTGAACAAAATATATTATTAAATTTAATGTCACCTATTTCCTTGTATTTTTTTAATATGGCTACAAGAAAATGTAAAGTTACAAAGGTGCTCATATTCTAGTTCTATCGGATAGTACTACTTTAGACCACAAAGACAGGAACTGTCCAAAGAGTTATGCATCTCCCTATTGTCACTCTACTGGCCTGCCCTTAGATGCAAGCAAAGCCTGCACCCAGCAGCTCTGTCTCACTATCTAAAAGGCAGGAGATTGTTCTATCTGACTTCTTTAGGTGGCTTTCTGTTAAAAGACTCTCCTTTTCTGCATGTCAGTCCTCCAGTTTATAATTAAATTTGCTAAGTTCCTATACTTTTGTGAGTGAGTGAGTTCAGGGTGTGCTGGCATATGAGTATGTGCACATGCATGCTTGTGCATGGACAGTTTTAAGGAAAGAGTAGGAGGGAACCTTGGTAGGTAGATAGGTTAGTAAGAGCCAGATGTGTGTGGTAGTGGAAGGGTGTGGGAAAGAAGGTACTTGCCCTCTGCCATGAAAACCCTGAAGTAAATTGTTCTCTTCCACTTACCATGGATAACATGGGGTGCCAACCAGAGGCAGTGGAGCCGAGCCTGTCATCAAGAGGCTCTGGAAACAGGGATACTAAGGAGGAGTGAGGTCCCCCAAAAAAGCCTAAGTACTAGATTTCAAAGGAAAACTAAAGAGTTGGAGGGATGGTGGGGGTAGGACGTAAGTCTAGAGGTCCTTCCACACTTTTGGTACAGTCCACTGAAACCAATCTGAATCTCAGAAACTTTGAATGATCTAAAAATTGAAGCAGTTACTTGCACTGATGCAGCAGGTTTTGGTAAATGAAGTGCTGCTGTCCAAGTCACCTGGCCTGCTCCCTCCGTCACCAGGGTTTCTGTTTTTAGTGGCGACTCTTTGCAAACAAATGGGTGAGGTGAAAGGCTTGACTCACAATGTGGTCCCTAGAACAGAAGCAGCGGCAGCACCCCTAGGAGCTTGTTAGGGAAAGTCTTGGGCCCTGCCCTGAACCCAAGTCAAAAAGACCAATGAAATTCTGATTTTTAACAAGAAGATCCTCATGTAATTTGTGTAATCATTAAAGCCTGAGAAGTACGTGAAGTTTAACCTGACTATATTATTTGCCTAATAAACTCTTTTGGTAAATAAACAACGGCAGCCTTTCATCTGAGTTAGACTCTCTGAAATTTGTCCCATTGGGGATGTTTTTCTCTTTCTTTGGACTGTAGCTAATAATACAGAATGTTTTGCAAGTAAATCAGTGGTTTCAGGTGGTTCTTGGATGAGTGCCTTGTAACAAGGCCATAAAAAGCCAGATTTTTCTCTTATAAGTTTCCAACTTAAGTATTCCCTGAAGCAAATAGCTTTGGCATAAAGGAGGCAAATAATTTTATGTAAGAGATGAGTACCTACATAAATAATGTGTGACCCCTGTGTAAGTCAAAATAATGTGGGAAATTGCAAAAGTAAGCTTTATTTCAGAATGTCACAAGCTGACATAAATACAGGACTTTTGCACCAAAACTGAGAAAGGCAAATTTAATTCACATACTTCTGATATTAGTTAAAACTTTTCTACTCCCAACAAAAACCTTTCTCTCTCTCTCTCTCTCTCTCTCTCTCTCCATTGTCCCTTGCTTGTTTTTATATCTTTCCCTTATAATCTTTTATATCTTTCCCTTTTTATATCTTTTGCTTATAATGTTGCCACTTGATTACTTGATACTTTTTCCATCCATTTACTCCAGCCAAGGAGCAAAATAAAATGCACAAGGATAGTGTTTAGTATTCTGAAATGAAGTATTAATTCCTCTGTGAAACTATCTGCAAAAGGACTTTCGGTTTCAAATATAAAGTCTCAAGCCTAACACAAATTCTCCAAAGACAGTAAAAACAAATCAATCCAGAAAAATGTATTTATATTTATGGTATTACAAACCAACCAATTTGCTTTATGTGAATATCAATCATTTGAGTGATCACAGCTTAATAGACTTTATGTCTTTGCCTTTGAATTCAGTGTTTATTGACCACCTGCATTCAAGATGCTTATATATTTGTATATTTATGCTTATATATTTGTATCTGAGTGATTACATGGATTTTTATTAAATAATTATACCTGGATATTTGGTTTCATGACATTTGTAAAATACAATACATCAAAAGAAAATGCACATAAAAATATGGATAAATCTACATCTACAATTCAAAATACATACTCTTAGTAGCAAAAAGTAATAACTTAATTAAAAAGTGGGCAAAAGATCTGAATAGACATTTTTTTCGAAGACATACAAATCCACTGGGTGTAAAAACACCTTAACATCACTAATTCTCAGGGAAACACAAATCAAAACTACAGTGAGATATCACCTCACACCTGTTAGGATGGCTACTGTTAAAAAGTCAAGAAAGAGATCCTGCTGTAGTGGATCATGCCTATAATCCAAGCATACTGGGAGGCTGAGACAGGAGGATCACAAGTTTGTGCCCTGCCTGGGCAATTTAGCACTTAACAGGACCCTATCTCAAATGGCGGGGGAAGCAGTTCACTGGGAAGGCCCTGGGTTCAATCCCCAGCAGTACCAAGAAATTTTTAAAAGAACAGGAGATACAAGTGTTGGCCAGGGTGTGACAAAAATATTGTTAGTGGGAATATAAATTTGTATAGCTATGATGGAAAATAAAATATAGCCATCCCACTATTGGGCATAGATCCAAAGGAAATGAAATCTTGAAGAGTCATCTGGACACGGTATTGCAGCAGAATTGTTAATAGCCAGGAGGTGGAATGAACCTAAATTTACATCAGTACATGAAAATGTACACATATATACAATGGAATATTATTCAGCCAATGAAATAGAAGGAAATCTTGCATTTTGTAACAATGTAGATATAATCCAGACACACGAAAACAAACTCAGTATACTCTCACTTACATATTTAAAAATGTTGAACTCATAGAATCTAGGAGCTGAGAGTGGAGCAATGGGAGATGCTGGTTAAAGGATATAAACTTTCAGTTGTAAGGTGAATGCATTCTGGAGAGCTAATGTACAGTATGGTGACTAGTTACTACTAATATATTACACACCTGAAATTTTTTAAGAATAACAGGAGTTCTCACCACATACAAACACATAATGGTGTCATGGTGGATGTGTTGATTTGATTGTGATAATCGTTTCATGATGCATGTCAAATCACCACATTGTATGCCTTCAATATGTATAATTTTTGTTTGTCAAATGCACCTCAATGAAGCTGGAAGAAAAAATACACCCTCTCTTTCAATGCAACTGAAACAGATGGAAAAGAACATGTTGCCATGGTGATGAGTCTCCTTAAATTCCTGACCTTGAACTTCACCTAGACCTAGCCCTGGCCAGCCTCCAAGAAGCCGTACTGCATTTTCTCAGATGAATTACTCCTTCTCTCCTCTGGAAACTGTCTCACACTCTTCCTTCTCTTCTCTGGTCTTCATTATCTGCTCACCCATCTCACTCTCCATTGATGACTTTTTTCCGTTTCCCTGAGAAGTGGAAAGAACCAGAAGAGAAAACCTATACTCCTCTACCACCCAGACAGCTGACAGTGGCCTGCTTATCACCTCCTGTTCACATCTAGCTAGACTGCCACCATTTTGTTCTTGCTGTTGTTTTGTTTTGTTTTGTTTGTTTTACCAGCTGGGGCTCCACTTACCATCTCCTTCTTATCTTCCTGGAAGTGTACATCCACAAACATTTTTCCAACAACGTAAGGGAGTGCACTTTCAATGAAATTGACACATTTGTCCCACTGAGGCAGCAAAGTTGTGGTGCCCTGAATTACCTGTGGGAGATAATCAATCTGGTTGAGCTTCATTCTGATAAAATGTATGATCAAAACAACTTTCAATCCACCTAAAGTAAAGAGTCTACAAAACCTTACACAACCTAACTCATGTACATGTATCAGGCAGCAGGGCAAAAGTAAAGTCAGATGAAGAAAAAATTGTGCTTCTCCCTACTTATATCTACAACTAAATGAAGATATTTTGACAGAGGGAAAATAATGGATTTCACCTTTCTTTCTGAGTTTTTCCTTTAGCCTAAGGATCTGGACCGTGGCATAGCATTTCTGTGGTCAGCAGGGATAGGAGAGAATCATGTTCAAATGTCCAGATAGTACTTAATGTCCATTAAGAACTGAAGTTCCACCAAGAAAGTTCGAGGATCGATGGTGATCAAAGTTCCTGCCAGCCAGCATGTCCTTGCTCTCTGTAGTATGCTGGACAAGGCAGATCAGGAGAACATGACCCACAACGACCAATCTAGGGATCATATTTACAGTGTGTCACAGCAGAGGACACACTGATAAACAAAATACAGATGGAAATGCTTTTCCCATCTGTCCCGATTATACCACTATAAAAAAAAAAAAATTCATGGGGGCTGGGGATTTAGCTCAGCGGCAAAGCGCCTGCCTGGCAAGCGCAAGGTCGTGAGTTCAGTTCCCGGTACCAGAGAAAAACCAAAAAAAAAAAAAAAAATTCACAAACAAGTAAGGAACTTCCAGAGCAAGATTTAGGAGGTTCAAAAGTTTACTTGTGGGGATGAAAACAGGAAAAATGCCATTTCAATTGTCCCTGGAGGCTGGGGGTGCAGACAGGCAAGAAAGAGGGAGGCGCTGAGGATGCTGAGCGGAAGCACCCCTCGCACAATATAAGACCCAGGTTGTTGGAGGAGGGCGAAAGTGATTAATGCTCAAGTTCACCTATTTCTCCTCTGCCTTCTGATAGCATGACCCCTGTCAAAGGTGACGGATGAATCTATTTTTAAAACCTCTAGAGAAAGAGGTCCTACAACCTTCTTTGGCAATTTAAGATTATATTTAGCACTTCACACTCAAAAACCATTCCCTCACATCTAACCTCAAATTTTTACACACTACTTCTTACACCTCCCTCTCTCTCCCTCTCTCATTCTCTGAACAGTGGGGGTGGAAAGCAGCTGGGTACTTTCTTTTATGTGATACTTAAGAGACAAAAATACACTTACACCAAAAATGTCTACTTGTTTTGTATCTTAACAATTTGATATGACCTAAATATATGTAGTTATTTGATGCTATCCTCCATAAAGTGACTTTATTTCTTTTTCAATCTTTATGAGTACAAGTTCGCAGAACGTAATGATTATGCTCCTCAGGGGGAGTTGGTTAGGGCACCTGACACAGCTCAATTGCTTTTTCAGCCTCTTGCGCTTGCCCCTCCCCCACCTCCTACACTTGGTTCCTTTCCTGTGTGTAAAAGATCTAGCCTCCTATTTCCTGTCATCTATCTTTTATTTTACTCTTATATTTTTAATGTAAGTATCACATGGTTTCTCTTACATGAGAAACCCAAAAGATAAATAAAGTGACTTCATATTCTAGTGACATTAAAGGGTCAAGATGCACTTGAACAATCGTACTACTATTCAACTGCAATGGCCCACTAAGAATTACTGTACTTACCTAGTTTTTCTGATGACTAAAATGTCTATTAAAAGAAATCAAACCTTATGAGATTTGCTATTCGCAACTTTAACTTGATAGAAAAATGAAATACTTTTTCAAAGTCGCAAAATCTGTAAGTCAAATGGTAGCAGAATTGCTAAACTGCAAGCCTCAGAAATGTGGATACGAGCAACATCTGTGTCAGTTAGGAGGCAGCAAGAGGAGCCAAGTAGCAAAGACTCAAGAGCCAGGCAAGTACGGGGAAAGAAACCAGTTCTGGCTCTTAAGTGAGGTCTCCGAGGAGCTGGAACTGGGTTAGGTCCCATGGGCCTAGGAGAATTAGAATACACTCAAGATTAAAGATTTAAGTAGTAATAAAAACAAAATTATGCCAGGCATGGTGGTGCATGGCTGTAATCCCAGCACTCGGGAGGCTGAGGTAGGAAGCTCGCTGTGAGTTCAAGGCCAGCCTGGGCTATAAAGCAAGTTCAAGGTCAGCCTGCATTACAAAGCAAGACCCTGTCTCAAGAAAAAGACAAAAACAAAATTATAACCCCAAATTTAGACTGAAACTTACAATCTAATACATGTATCATGCACATTTTGAATATGCAGAACACTAAAAATATAAAATAGTTTGATGCAATAGATTAAGAAAACTGATTTCTCCAGGCTACCTGAAACCTTGCACTCTTTGCTGAATAGCTCCCCTTTCCGCAGCCCTCCCTTCCCCAGCCTTCGGTCATCACCATTCTGCTATGTTTCTAAGACATAAGTTTTTTAGATCTCATATATATGTGAGATCATATAGAATTTCTCTGTCTCTATTTGAAAGCTATTTTAGATCCCACGTATCAGTGAGAACCTACTGAATGTGCCTTTCTGCACATTGTGATAGTATACATAGTAATAATTGTATATTTCAATACAATTGCATTGGATACACAGTTTGTATATTTCAAATTTGCTAAAATAGGTTTTAATGTTCTCAACACAAAAAGTAAGATGATAGATGTATTAATTAACTTCTTTGAATCTTTCTATAACATATAGATAGCTCAAAACATCACAACATTCCCCAATAAATATACATGAGTGTCCCAATTACTATTTGTCAGCGAAAATTAAAAAATAAATACAAATAAAAATACTTTAAAAGATTATAAACATACCCCTAACAAATGTTAAAACTATAATTAAAATTGCCCAGTTTAAAACACTGCAAAAAATAGCAGTAAGTGGATAAGTGGAGGAGAGTTGGGAAGCAATGTGATGGCCCTATCACCATAAATATATCTTTATTCAGCACAGTCAAGGCAAAGTTTGAATGAGCTTTTAGGGTATGTAAGTTACATCTGAATGAACAGAATTTTTAAAAGTAGAGTTTGAGCTACAAATTCCCTCTGTTCCATCCCTAAAGATGATTTTTGTTGGATCAGTTCATGTACAGACTGTGCTGGCATGTAAAGTTATGTAGTGATGTAACAATGCAATTTTCTTAAACTCACCCGTGAGAATTCCAGCCACCTATATTGAAAGCGCCTGCTAAGGTTTGGAATTCTGGAATAAACCATTCTCCACACCAAATAGTTGGCAATGGTCCTGTTAACAGAGAAAAGTGCACATTTATTGTATTTTGGGTCAATATCTGATGCTCTGCAGAACACCATCAGAAAAACGATTGGCAAAGTTCCATGGAGACACCTCTGGTTCATATAAAAATGCAGCATTCGCACTTGAAAAATGACATGAGATGATACAATGTCAATGAGCACGACCAATATTGGCTTGACTCTCACCACCTACTACAGCTAGATGAAATAAAGATTCAAGCCCCAGGCCTAAGAGTGTACGTTTTACTTTCCCTCTAAGGGCAGAGAATCCACTATAACCCAGCTTTTCATGTCAGGAAATTGTGAATACCTTTCAATTACAGGTGACTTGATACCATTCACACCAATTCTTTGCCTTTGGAGACTAGCAGCAAAATATTGACTAATATCAATCATCTAAATTTGCGCCCTGGTTTTATACCCTGTGAGCTCAGGCAAGTCACTTAATCTCTCTGATTTATCTTTCCTTATAGTACAATGATGAGGATCCCTACCTCACCGGGTTATCGTGAGGTTAAAATAAATAACAAAATGCTTAGCAAGGAGCACTTTCCTAAGCTTTTTGTTGTGTTCACTTCCAAACATATGAATAATCCCATATGTTTCTTTAACGCACATAAAACACATTTTAAAAACTCTGTTACATTTTAGGTGTTGCCTTTTTCTAAAAGCAAAAGATGCCCTGACCTCAGAAGAATGTGTGTTCTGAGTTAATTTCTAATTTAATAGTGATGATGGATTTTTAATGACTCGTCCCCTCTCAGCTGTGCCATTACCATGGTGAATAATAACACGAAGTCCTAAAATGGCTCTCGGGTCCATCTGAAACTTGACAGCAATATGGCATAATGATGCTAACCAGCTCATCGAAAACCACCCACGCTCGGGGCTGGGGATTTAGCTCAGCGGCAAAAGCGCCTGCCTGGCAAGCGCAAGGTCGTGAGTTCGGTTCCCGGTACCGGAGAAAAACCAAAAA